GACATGTGTCAGATGCGTCCTTGCTTACAAGCGATCGCTTCGTTCGTAATCGACTATATCTGACCAAGTTTATGTTTCAGAATACCTGTTGAACAATTACAAGAATTTCGCTCGATCTTTGGACGATGGCAGCATTGTCTAGACGATATGGCATGTATTGGTTATCTACCTTTAATTCAAGCTGCCTATTCTACTAGATTTAACATGTAGTTTTGTTTAATCTTTAGCAACGCAGAGAATTATTTATTGATTGCATGAAGAAGTTTTGTGATATATATGTTGAATATCCGGAAATTGTTGGAGAAAGGTAAAACCTACATTCCATGCCTCGGCGAATTTGCATATATCATTATTAGTCTCAAGTATGTTTATTAATACTAATTTATCAACGACAGCTTAGAAAACGTAACGACATTCACTGACATAGTATCAAAACACTTGGCAAGCACAATAAAATCTATCGTTATCCCTGGATCACAGGCGGAGACAAGCAAGGGTATAATGAGAGGTCAATTGCTTAATTTGCATTAAATTGTGGCTTTATTGATTTACGCTACCATTTTTCACTTGTAGCGATTATGCGGATGTTCGCTTCCAAACAGCAATTATTTTACCCGTTAATGGCTCTTAATTTATTATGTAATGGTCCTGTGAGTATGTCGAATTATTAATGCTGTGAGATTATATAACCGACTTTGGCCACTGAATCATTACTCTTGACAGAATTACTTACTGGAAACGATGAAAGAGAACGAGCTTCCTGCTATATTAATAAGAACATATAGCTCATTCACGACACTGCCGTCGCATCCAAGTTGGAATCTAATCGAATTATATAGGGGAGGAACTGAAAGAGTTATTCAAGGCGTAGCTCCAGCAGGCGTAGTGGCAGACATTCTTACCGATATACTTGTTCACTTTGTCACCAAATCATCTGTTCTAAAGTACTACATGGAAAAGGACATACTATTTTTGCTTGTAAAAATGATATTGGATGCTGAAGATGACCCGTCAAAAAATAAAGAGGAGTATTTCTGGCAAGACAAGTATGTATGAGTCAATAGACATTCCATTATCAATAGTCATGCGTTTTCTTGACATTGACTTTTGCCCATTATAGAGCATTGGAAATCCTTACCGAATTATTTTCCTCTGATGCTGTTAATGGAGCCCTTGTAACATATTTTGAAAAAAAAGATATTATTGCCAAGCTAATTGAAGTTGTAAGCGATGGCATAGACAAAGATAGAAATAAATGCGTCGCAAGCCAAAAACAACTACTTGCTGCTTCTTTGTTAATTGAATCAATACAGGTACGCGTCGTTTATTTATTTCGTGCTCGTTTGAGTAACTCAATGGTTATGCTTACTAACTATTATTTTAAAGGGTACTGTTGAAGCCTCTACCATCTTTTTGGACAAGTTTGTCGAATTGAGTGGTTATGATATGTTCTATCGACTGCTTATATTACCGCCTTATGAGGGAAAGTCTTTATCAGTCAAGGTATACAAAGATCAACAGTAAACACAATAGCGTCAACACTGTATATTTTCTTACCCGAGAAATCATTTATCATCTTAAACTAGGGCGCATTTATAGGCTTTGTAGAAGACCTTGCGTTTGCCGGAGTGGATGATTCGAGCCTAATGGTGTCTACCACATCTCCATATCAGCACGATGGTATTCAATACAAACATGAGAAAGGATTTTATTTTGTCTCTTTGATATCCTTTAAACTAAACCATTATTATTTTAGACTTTACATTACCCGAAAGCCAGCAAGACAACGGTAACTTGATTGTGTTCTCCAAAGAAAAACGCTTTGTTATATTTCACAATACTCAATCTGCTTGTCATATTCCTCAACAGGTACACTGGTTCGCAATGCCGCTGCTATGCAGATTTTGACATCGATTGTTCTTTATCCTGAGCAATCGTTCAACAAAAGGGAACCAGTTGATACTTCATATGCCTTACCGGACAGCTACCGAATGAAGGCTGTTGCTGCGGTAGCAGAAGTCCTTAAAGCAAATCCATCAAACTTTTTTTTGACAGAATCTTTGAACTTTTTACCGACTTTTATCGAGCAATTGGATCGATTCTCTTCAGATCTTAAGGTAATTTGCAACCATTCATATACTAGAATGTGACTTTACAATAATCATTAACTTAATAGGCATCTATCAATTTATAGGCAGCAATTGTTGATTTGTTGATATACGTTATGGTCGAACTGAATTACGTTCCCTTTAGAGAATTAATTGTATTGTCGCTTCATTTCCAGGGTAGTTATCTTAAATAGTACGTATGTCGATTTGAGTTTTCACATGATACTAACTTACTCGCATACCAAAGGCCACTCATCGAAAGATACAACAGCCACTGTGTGTCATGCAGTGATTTCATTGCTGCGAACCTCGCATAAGTTTCAAGATATGTTTCGCGAAATCGGTCTTCTCAACATGTTATGTAATTTAATACAAGAATTGGCTGTCACTCTAAAAGACAGATTTGGTGATACACATTTCCAAAGGCGGATATCGATATCTAATATAAGCGATATAACGAGTAATCAGAAGGAAATCGACAAGCGAAATTCACGCTTTAGTCCGGATGTAGTTGATAACTTTCAGTTAATTTCAGAGTGTTTGGTGGATTTACTACGAGGAAACAAGACGAACATTTCGCTCTTTGGAACTACATATAAGGGAAATTTATTTGATTTATTACACTACGATGAAACACGCGCTGGCGCTTTGGCAACATTCGAGGTGTTGGTTGTTGACGGCCATCGACTGTCTACAGCGGAAACGTCGACGTCCCAATTAACTTCTAGGTCTTCAGTATCATCTACTTCCGCGGTTGAACACTCTTTCCAATTCGGTAGATTGATTGAAATTGTGCAGACACTCAATCGATTTGATCTGAATATGAAAATACATATACTGTTATCGATGAAACGCATCCTTGTGGCTTGTCCTGCTATGAAAGATGTATTCCGTGATGCTGGAGGTTTTGTTTGCTTGGTCAGCTTGCTCGTTAGTCTGGAAGATGTTTATGATCAGCTAGCTAAACAAGACGCTGGTATGAAAAGAAACAACATTAGCATCGGGGAAGAGTTACCTACTAAGCAGCAAACCGTCGATACGCTTCGTGCTATATTTGTTGTATTCGCTGAAGCTCTTTTGGGTCACGAATACAATCGAAGATTTTTCTGCGAGTCTATTGGGTTCAAGTCTGTAGAGGATGCTATTCGTCTCACCAATATCTTGGGTCCTCAAGGTTCTGCCGAGAATCTGTTTGGGATATTATTTGGTTTTGCAATAGTGAACGAATCGTTGAGCAATATTTTCATTGAGAGAACAGCCGTTGATGACCGTCCTCCTGAGCATAAAAGTCGAGACGACCCTCGCGACAGTAGAATTATCGAGGCTTTTGGAAATATTACCGATGAAATTCAGAATCCAGAAGTGATACCGACCATTCTCCGATTACAATCTTTTGTCAGGTACAACGAACAATTAACGCACAACATTTACGAAGCTCTTCTGGCTCTCGCATTTGCCAATAGACGCAACCAAGTTTCTATGAATCAGTGCGGAGTCCTTGAAATCGTCCTGCGTCGACTCTTTTACACGTCAGAAACTGTTATTGAGGGAGGGCGTGAAGTGGTCTTTGAGCCAAACGCAAAAGAACGGTTGATGCTTACACGTCTGGCACAAAGACTTATAGAGATGGGCGTTTCGACCATAGAAATCCGCTTTTTGTTTGAACAACTCGAAAATGGGCAACAGAAATCTGAAAACATTTTTGTAGATGTGGATGGGTCTCCTATGTCACTAATGGACATGGTTCTTTATGGAGTTCAGAGAAGTCGATGGCCACGTTTTGTGCAATTTGATATGAATCCGGTTGGCTTTTCTTGTCTGGAAATGTCTCGGTTAACAGACAGGCAGTTTCCACCAAGTAGTGGTGGATATTGTTTTATGACATGGCTGGACATTGAAAACTTTGATCCACTTATAAATTTGATCATTCTCGGCCTAAGCGACGATGAGAAAAAATGTTATTTGCACGTTTTCATTGACACTCAATCTAAAAAACTCACAGTACAAACTTCACCCAAGCATGCTGTTCGCCTTGAAGGGTTTGAATTTCGTTCGGGATGTTGGTACCATATCGCTCTAGTTCATCATAGACCTCGTCTTGCCTCAGCTTCCACTCTGTCTTTATATGTTGATGGAAAATTCGTAGAGGTCGTAAGGTGTCCTTACTTGGGTCAACCAGCACCCAATAAAGCGATTCGGACATTTTTAGGCACGCCACCTGATGTTGCTCGACAATTGGGTAAGACTAATTCCACTCTCGCTTGGGATATGGGGCCAACTTATCTATTCGAAGAAGATGTCGATGGAGACGTAATCAGTGTGTTTTATCATTTGGGGCCTCGCTACACGGCCAATTTCCAGGCTTCTCTAGGTCAATTTCAGACATATCAAACGTCGACACTACTCAACATGCGAATCGATGCTTTGAGTCATAAGCGCAAAGATATGGGAACAGAACTGGATAATTTGGCCATGGTGAATGCAATACGCGGTAATAACAGCCAGACGTTACCCGAAGAGAAAATAGTGTTTGCATTCTCTGCAGGGAATATATTAATATCCGGTCAGAATCTCGGTATCACTGGTGCCGGTCTCTCTGAAAGCACGATACAAACTTTGACCATAGGCTCGGTGAACAGAAAACTCATAATTAACGCCGCTGTACCAAAAATAGAACGTGCACTCAGAGTCGGACACGGGACGGCTTATTTAAAGGGTGATCCAATTATAGCAACTCCTCATGGGATGGATGATTCGGTTTGGAAGATTGGTGGCTCTGCCGTGGTCTTGAGGTTAATTGAAAGAGCAGAAACGACGAAAGAATTATACAAGGCAGTTTGTATTCTCATCGAACTTATTAGATTCAGTTGGCGTAATTCAGAAGACATGGAGAGGATCCATGGTTATGAAATACTAGCGTATTTACTCAGACAAAAGCAAGAATTATTAACGCTAGAGATATTGAACGTCCTGTTAGTCTTTGTTGGATTAAACCCAGTTAATCCAGCTGATTCAGTCATAATCAATCCGTTGGCTTACCGATATCTCATGCTCGACTTTGAGCTATGGAAAAATGCCGACGAAGTTGTTCAGAAAGCACACCTTCAGCAATTTGCTACGTTTATTCAGTTAAGTCAGCATCACCAATTCAATGCTAAAAGATTGAATAAAATGCATGTTGTCAAGAAGATGTTGGTAGCTTTGAAGATAAACGTATACTCTAACGAGTTGTTGAATGAGTTCATAGCTATATTAAAGATTGTAATCAAGCACAATTTTACGACTGAAGTCGTTAGATCAATTGCCACGTTCCTAGTGTCTTCGTTAAACAGGCGTGAGTTGATTTCCACTATTGTCATAGAATGCTTTTGAATTTTATTAACAAAACTTACTAAACCCTTTAATAATGCGTTAGCATCGCCAACTCGTAGAAATACCCGTCGTGATCCTCTCCTCAAACGCAGTGCGACAGTCAGTGTACACAAAGCAAGCGATACCAGCAGAGCGTTACCAAAGACTATAATCACAAACGTGAAGACTCTCGAAGCAGAAGTACCAGCACGGAAAGTTGGAAATTTGTTGATGGAAATGCTCGCAGACATAATATGCGATAAACTGAACCCATTCTTTGCTAATAAATTTTCTGTGACGATAACTAACAAATGGCCATTACTCTTCTTTGACGAGGCCTCGAATCCGTTTTGGGTTGTTTGTGCAGCTCGAATTTTAGCCAGGCTTTTCTACACGCAAGGACCAAATTACATATCAAAATTTCGAACTTCATCAGATGGTTTTATCGTTATGCAAAGACTTCTTCCAAAGTGGTGGTATCTGACGCAGCTACAGCAAGCTCTATTTGCCATGTTGTTTGGTATAGACATTTGTGATATTCCAATGGAAGCCCCGTTTGATCTATTCACATTATTGACTCAATTCGGTCCAAAGGCTAATCGATCTGGTGGACAGACTGTCATCATTTGCGCTGATATCATGCCCACTATATTACTTATTATGAAAGAAGGCGTTAATACCGTGGTCCGGCTCAGTCAAGAGGCAGAAAAAGATATGAATGCAAGGGGTAGAACGCGCGATGATACAGCAATTCAGAAGGATAAACGGGAAGAAAAAATGAGAAAACGACAATCGCGATCTCTCACTCGGGAATTTGAAGCAGTCATGGGGAAAATGTCGGGCTTTCTTGCAGCTGAGCGAGAAAGGGAAGCTGGAAAAGAAAGCTTGTCAAAGTTATCCCATGTCGAACAAACGCTGGTGCATTTTCTTGCAGATATGAATTCCAATTCGCACGAGTTCAGTGAATTCTGTTCAAGAAATGAAATCCTTGATGGTCTAATCGATATACTCTTTCCCATTGTCTGCGCATCGGAAGAACTACCAATTGAGTCAGAGTTATTTTCTAAGGATATGTCATTGTCGTTTGGTGTAGACGTATCCCTAGAGGGCAGTAATATATATAGTCTTATCCCTATCTTATCGAACATCCGGCAACCAAAAACGAACAATGATGAGCCTGGCGAAGAGATGACAACCTTTTCAAGTGGAACTCAATTATTGATGACAGCCGAACCGATAAATGTGGACTCCCTTGGCATTCCGTTTAGCACAAGTCCTATGACAAGCGATGTAGAAGAGGTATCAAAACCACAACCACGTAGAAAATCAACCAGAGATTCTATAAAGAAAGAGTCTGATTATACCGCTTTGAAGAATGCTACAGTCGAAGGTCTCTTGGAATTTGTGGTATCTATCTGTGTTAATTCGATAGTCGATGTTAAAGCGAAATCTCTCAGTGCACTGGAGACTGTGTTTAAAGTATGTATATGCATGTAGGTTTAAAATTATCTTTTTTGTGCGCTTTCGATATTAACAATATCTGTATATGGATTATAGTCGTTCCCACCAGCCAGTTTAGATAACCAGGTTAGTTAACGACAGTTGACGGCATCATTTGCATTATCTGCTTCTAATTATGAAAACTGGTCATACAGATACATTTTGCAAGCTATGTATTTAATCATGTAATTGGAAGTTTGAAGAGCACTCTACAGTTAGATAGAAATCTGCTACTAGATTCACGCATTGTTACAAATACTGCTAAATTTATTCATCTTGCAGTGGATGCCATATATCAAGGTATTTTTAACTTACGATTCTACCAAGTAATTTCTTTCTTTCCTATTCTCACGCGTCATTCCACGTATAGGTTGGTTCGTCAATGGACGTAACCAAATTCTTGATTTCATCACAATTGTTCTCGAGAACATACAACGTCTTGACGACGCAAGTGGTAGAGTCCGCGTGAACGATACTACCATAACAGCGATATACCGTTCTCTTAATCGGGTGGTTTTGTTCCGAATGGCCGGAATTGATAATGCGTCTGGAGATAGCATGCATATAAATGATTTACTTGAGAAAATCATGTACCATCAAAAAGTGATATTTAGTCATCACAATACGGATATTGATTTTCTCAAATCTATCTGTTATCATCTGTACAAATGCTTGTTGCATGAGGATCAGAACGTGAAGAGGACTTCGATGAGTGTATCCTTTGCCTGCACTTAGAGACAAATGAACAATATTAATCCAAATTATAAGTACTTTGTTGATCTTTGACTAAATTGTATTCAATAGGTTTGGAAGCTATTAATGTTGCAAAAGCCGGTAGAGATGTCGGGTATTCTGAAGACTAGAATAAAAGGAATAGGTATGTGATTTACTAACATGTAACACGGCGGATATAAGGCTTCGTTACTCATCCTTTTTGTGTATCGTATAGAATACAAGGAACTTGTAGAAGGGTTTGCTAAACTTTTGGAGACAAAGGTATTATCAAAATTACGTGCAAGAACGATTTTAGTGATATAGTTACAATTGCATAATTGGATTTGTTTAATAGGAACTTAATTCGTTTTTGGAATGGATTGGTACCCGCCGCGAGCAGTTGGATGCATTGTTCCTGGATAACATCTATAAAACTTGGGAGAATATTATAACGTCAGAAGTGAAGACGGGCAGAGATACGATAAAAAACTCTCATACCAAACGTATGACCAAACTCAAGCGACTCTATCGGAAGTCCTCCAGCGAGCTAGATTTCTTCAATCAATACAGAGTCAAAACAAACCAATGGGCAAAAAATATCCAGGAATTGGAAACAAGTCGCTATTATAAAAACCTTCAAGATCATGTGGATCATGACAATTATGTGAGGGCGGAGTGGTCCAAGACGTCTGCTGACTTATTTAGAGAGCGTGCTTTATGGAGCTCTAAGACGGATGAGGGCAATGTGAGGTGGAGGTTAGATTTTACCGAAGGTAGGAGAATGATGCATATTAAAAGTGGAGATATTCATTAGATTCTGAAGCCATCTGTCTATAGGGAAATGCCGAATGCGAAAGAAATTGGAGACAAACGATGAAATACAGATTTACTCTTATAAACCGAAGAGCAGTAAAAACGCTGATGACGCTAATAAATCAAAGCCTTCAAACCTTACTACGATTAACACTTCTAAAGTAACCAGATTCAGTAAAAAACAGAGTATGTATTGATCGTAGTATGTATTTAAATTGCTTAATTTGGATAATTTTTTTTCTTATAATCGCCTCTAATCTGCTCTGTTAGCTCTCGATGTACCACAAAGCCGCTCAAAACGAGGTACTGAATTAATATTTAAAGAATGTTTCCTTTGCTTTAGAGATAATGATATATATTTTTATTATGTATGTAGGAAAAGTCTCTATCGAACGCAAAATGACATTGACGCCTCGTCCTAGTGATTTGGAAAATACGCCAGCTCAACGAACCAAAGCAGATGAGTCAGGTAGGGATACATCGAGATGATAGGTGTATAAAGATTAATACTCACTTGAACTGTTTGTAGAAGAGGACGAGGACGAGGACGATGATGAAACTGAGTTTGAGGAAGACAAGAATCGTAAAGTACTGCGATCGTTGGAACATGGTGATTCTGTATTAGATATCTTCAACATAAGTCGAATCATGGGACTGGATGCCTGTGGTATGTACATAGTGATTGGCTTATTAATTGGAATTAGCTTTAATCATGTAAACTGTTTTATTTCTTTACAGAGGGCTTGTTATTACTCTGCAAACAGAACTTATATTTGATGGATAATTATTTTCAAAGATCTGATGGAGAAATCGTTGACGTTTGGGATGCACCCACCGAGGTATTGCGTTGTTATTGATAATGCATATGGTATTATTCTTATTAATAATATTCATGACATTCACAGGAAAGAGATCAATATTTGCAAATGATTGCATCGCATGCCAGTTATGGTAATCAACCAGGCAACAATCCAAAGAAGGATAAACATCAAAGCCGCCGATGGTATTTATGCATACCGTTAAGCCACATTGCGTAATAGATAATTTAATGAGATTTCTCGTATATTCTCAGGGCGTTCGAAGATATTAAAGAAGTACACAAAAGGAAATTCTTATTCAGGTATGGAATATAGCAAGGGCTAACCAGCAAATTCATCTCCAAAATAATATGTAACATTATATCCATACCTCTACACATTTCCACAGAGATGTTGCTCTGGAAATCTTCTTCAATGATGGACGTAACTATCTTATCACCTTCAATCTCAAAGAACGTGACATCGCTTACAGCAAATTAGTAGCACGTGCTACATTCTCCATCAGCGCAGCAGAGTCTGTCATGGGAACAACCAGTATCGATGCAAAAACTCCAGTTTCTCCGTTGCAGATTGGCCCAACAACCGGATTAATGTCCATATTTCCTAATTTCTTTGCTAACTCCTCATTGACTGAATTGACACAACGATGGGAGAGGAGAGAAATTAGCAATTTTCAATATCTAATGCACTTGAACACCCTTGCTGGGAGGTCTTATAATGGTAGGTCAAGATTCCACGATTATATTATGACATCTGTATTTACGTTCACTTAACTGTCGTATCTTTATCGTCATCAAGATCTTACGCAATACCCCGTCTTTCCTTGGATTCTTGCTGATTACACCAGTGAAGAGGTCAATGTTCGAATTTATTTTAAGACGATGATGTCAATCGTTCTCATCCACCTATACTGAAATGTATCTGCTCCCTCTTAGTTTGACCTAACAAAGCCCGAAACGTTCCGTGACTTCTCCAAGCCCATGGGAGCTCAAACACAAGAGCGTCAGAGTACGATTATGTCTTTCTACATATTACGTCTGTATATTTCCATGACTTTACCAAATTTACTGACTTTTACGTATAGAGGAATTCCAAATTAGATATCGCTCATGGGATCCAACAATCAATGGAACGACCCCGGCCTTCCACTATGGCACCCATTATTCATCTGCGATGATCGTTTGTTCTTATTTAATACGACTTGAACCATTTACACAACAGTATCTTAAGCTCCAAGTAAGTTTAATAATAGAATTGTAACTTTGTTGACATACTCTAGCGATAATGATTTACCATACTTTCTAATTGTTCTCGGGTATTACCCCGTGGGGAATGTTTTTCTAATTTGCTTTAATATTTTGCGCAAATAGTCTAACCTTTCATTTTAATTATAGGGCGGACATTTTGACCATGCGGATCGATTATTCCATTCGATTGGCAAAGCATGGCTATCTGCTTCACGAGAGAATATGAGCGATGTTAGAGAATTAATTCCAGAATTCTTTTATCTTCCAGAGTTTTTGGAGAACACGAATAAGTTCAACTTTGGTAAGATAGCTAGATATCAGTGAATACGGAGACGTTATTCTTCAATCGCTTAAAAATTTGTGCATTAGGTGTTAAACAAGCAAGTGGAGAAGTCATTGATTCGGTGATTCTTCCGCCATGGGCGAAAGGAGATCCACGAGTATTTATTCACAAGCACCGTGAGGTAGCTAAGATTTTACACTTTTTTGTTTTCTTGTGAGATAAATACACTGCTTATTATCATGATATTTATATTGTATATATATAGGCTCTTGAATGCGACTATATTAGCGCTCATCTGAACGAATGGATTGATCTTGCCTTTGGATATAAACAACAAGGACAAGCAGCTATTGATGCTGTAAACGTATTTCATCATTTGTCATATGATGGAGCTGTTGGTAAGTGTCTATTCGTACGCTAGAACATAATAACGTTATGATACTCATATTCAAGATAAATGCGTCGATATCAGATCTTGACTCGATAACGGATCCAGTTGAGAGATCAGCGTCAACTGGAATAATCCATAATTTTGGTCAGACTCCACGACAACTGTTTACGAAGCCACATCCACCGCGTTTGCCCGAAACATCTGATTCTGCTAGTGGCAATGGCCTCTATAGCCTATATGAACATGTTGATAAGCTTATTCAGTCAATTACCCCCGTTCAAGGTTAGCGCATGGAAAATATCGAATGAGTGTGGTGGATAATTTCTCTAATCAAACTAAATAATACCAGATATTCGACTACAAGTCCACGATATTCGGTTGTCTAACGATCGATTGGTGTCTGTGAGTACACAAAAGATCCTTGTGCCTCCAAACTATAATTACTACATCGAATGGGGATATGCAGACAACAGTCTTCGGCTGCATCAAACGGATACAAAGAGGGTGCCTATTTACTATTTACTATTATAGAGAATTTGTATTTATTGCTTCTGTCAATTGCTCATGATGTGGTTCTTTCTAGATGGTTGGTTTATATGAGAATCTTCACTTGGAGACTATAAGCTGTGCATCATTCGCGGATGGACAAACTTTTGTCACTGGAGGAACCGATGCGGTAATATATGCTATTTGTCGAGTGTCGTTAATGTGAAGACCCATACTTATCCATTTTGGTATAGGTTGTCTGTATATGGAGATTCAATTGGCAATCAAAGACAGCACGACTTCATTTCTTAGAGTGTTTACGCGGTCATTCTGCCAAAGTTAACTGCTTTGCTACTTCCCGTTCATATAGTATTATTGTCAGTGGATCTGATGTAAGTTGTGATGCACTGTATACCATCGAGGAATTGATAATTAAATGTCTATTCAATACTGATATTCATTATTTACAATAGGATAAGTCTTGTATCATATGGGATCTGAATAGAATGAAATACGTTAGGCAGCTGAAGGGACATGAAACTGGGGTACAGGTAAAGTTAACGCGCCTTAGATTATGAGCATTTTCGGTACAGTTAACATAGATTATTTGGAATGTCAATAACGAATATTCTATCTTTACAGTACATAGCAATAAACGACACGACTGTAAGTATACTTGTGACATGCGACAATTAAACGAGACTCAGCATGCATCATGTTAATGTTGGCTATTGTAGGGCGATATTGCAACTTGTTCCGGCTCAACAATACGGATATGGGGCATCAATGGAGACTTAATAGTAACCAAATCAATATCAAGCGTGTCTGGGCCTATCACGTGTTGTACTTTCTACGAGGTAATTAAGCTTCTGTTATCTGCGAAGGTCTGCCATCACTGCAAGTGTATATACTAATGTTACCGCACCAGGGCAAGAGTAATGAATGGTTCATACACGATATGATTCTAACGGGCCACAAGAAAGGAATCATAAAGGTAAGATCATGGCGAATAAACTATTCGAATAGACGTCTTCTAAATTTACTTATTATCTACTGTCTGTTAAAGGTCTGGCACAGGAAGCTCGAAGAAAAAATAGAAAATGACAAGAAGGGTGAGTTTCACGTGTCCATGTTGTTAATTCTCTGAATCACAATTGTGTACTTTAATTGTAATTTAACTGTTCTCTACGAATTTGTGCAGTTTGGAGATGGGATCTTATGCCTCGACATCATTTACAGCACGAAAGTAGGCTCGGTATGATTCAGCCGGGAGATGTTACCGTCTTACATGCATCAGGGTAGGATATAGTTATTCGCAATTCGGTTATGCCATATGTGTACTTATGAATTTGCAAATTTCCGTAGTACCCAACGTACGTTATACAGCGGATGTAGCAACGGTAAAGTGTTTGCATGGGTTTTACCCGATGCCAAATCAGATGGTCACTGGATGCCAGACAGCGCCACCGATAACTGTTTGAAATGCGGAATGAAATTCGCCGTTCTTGGTAAGTGCTCAATGATATTACTGCATCTATACGACATACAACGATTCGATTGCTAACGAGCCAAATTTGTTTCTTAATATAGAGCGTAAGTTACACTGTAAAGCATGCGGCGGTATCTTTTGCTCTGCGTGTACTTTTAGTGCAATAGACAAGAACTCTCGATATTGCGAATATTGTTGTCAGAAATTGGGTATACAAAATGTGTTATAATATAATGTCATTAGAGTGTTATATATTATGTATTATAATATTATTGATATAGATCCTATTGGATTGTGGTTGGTTTGTTGGGTAAAATTAGTTTTATGTTTATGAACTAGACAAATTCATCAAAGATAACTTCTGAACGATTTAGTTTAACAATAATACACGCGTACAGAATTTTTGGAATTTCTGTTTACTCATCACTCAAGTCAGTTCCCTTCTTACTGATAAGTTCTCTTCCTCTAAATAAGAGGAATATTTCACTTGTTACTTGATTCATCGGATAACAATACATAATTAATCCGCAACTAGCTGGAATATGAAAAAACTAAAAAACGGCAGTTGACAACAATGTCAATGCAATGTTAAATTTGGATTTTAAGGGAATACGTAAAAGTACAACTTAAATTTATTTAGTGAAATTCTGAAATAGATATCCTAAAAGTTTTGGTTGCATTAACTAAAGTAAAGAAGTTACCAAATTTAGCCGTTATATATTGAATCCAACGGGAGAGTCGTAAAGTACATTATCGACAACGTCCCCATGATAATGAACTTGTAGCTCGACTCTACGCACACAAACGCTAAAATTGCATTGCATAAGAACGTGGATTATTAAAATCGGTTTAGGATTGTATCTCCAATTAAAAATATGACCACCGACACTTGTATTTTTTGGGGGAGGGGGAATTTCTGATTTACCGAGAGATTTGATTTATTAATTGACGTGGCGAATAGTAATAGTTAAAGTGTGATATACGTGATAGATGATTATGACTCTCGTGTGTTAGCCATAGTGTGAAATACCCATTTACATAACAAATTAGAAATATTACAAGAGATCAATAATTAGGATTTCACTTCTTCACTGTTATACTTCTCGCATTCTGTACTAATACGATATTTTTGAGAAACTGGCTTCTCAACTCCTCGGGCGAAGTACTATTCGTGGGAACTGAGGTAAACCTCTGGACTACGAGTTCTTGCAATTTATCAAGCGAAAGTTCCTTCTCCTATAAGAAAAGAATACTTATTTAACGCTTGAAACGCCGATTTGGTTTAAACTGCACCAATTCCCTTACCTTTACTTGCTTAAGTGTATCTCGCACAGTTGCAGGCATGCTCAAACCAAAATCCGACTCATTTGCAATCATGCTACTGTTGAGTTTACGCCTTTTGGCGGGAAGTGCGTTATCTTCGTCCGCAGGGTGTTTACTTTCAGAAGAGATTGAATCGCCGGGTTCGCTTTTATCCTTCTGAGTTGAGGATTTCCCATTGGGCTGAGATTTATTTAATATTGTCTCCGTACTGTTGTTATCCGTACTGTTGTTAACCGATTCTTTTGACGAGATGGCCTTTATTGTAGGATCAGACAACCTTGGTTTCTTTCTTGCTTGGACAGCTTTCTTTGATTGTTTCGAACTTTCATCACTTTCAGAAGATGCTAAACTGCCGGGTTCATATTCCGAATCGTCTTGACTATTATTGGCTCTTTTTGATTTCGTCTTTGCCTCTACCTCCGATCTCTTTTCAAATGAGCCGGAGACTTGTTCATTCAAAGTTTTTCCATTAGGTGATACCGTTTTAGAAGCAGCTTTCCGCGAGGGGTTAGTCTGTTCATCTTCCGAAGATTTTTTGGACTGTGTCAAACTAGACTCCAATTTTCGGTTGTTTTTCGAACCAGTAGTCGATGCAAGATCTTCATCAGAATCACTTTCACTCAATTTATCGGACGAGCTATCAGTGTTATTTACATTGTTTGTCTTAGTTTTCTCACTTTCACTATTGCTTTCGCCTGATTCATCAGAAGAGCCGTTAGTGTTTTTTACTGTGTTTTTTACCGTGTTTTTTACTGTGTTCTTTACTGTGTCTGTCTTAGTTTTCTCATTCTCACTTTCGTTCTCATCATCACTCTCACTATCAGTCTCATTATCACTCTCACTTTCGTTATCAGCGTCGTCGCTTGATTCGTCGGATAAGCTCTTAGTCTTTGTCCTTGACTTGACCTCCTCGGTTTCACTCTCATTCTCACTTGATTCGTCGGTTGAGCCCTTGGTATTCTTTACTGCATTTGTCTCAACTTTCTCACTTACATCCTCATTCTCACTATCACTCCCACTCCCACTATCAGTGCCACTTGAATTGTTAGATGGGTTCTTAGCACTTTTTACTGCATTTCCTTTAACTTTTTCACTCTCACTCTCACTCTCACTCTCACTCTCGCCTTCACTTGACTCGTCTGACGAGCTCTTTGCATTCTTAACAACGTTTCCCTTAACTTTCGCATTCTCACTCTCACTCCCACTCCCGCTCCCACTTTCACTCTCGCCTTCACTTAACTCGTCTGATGAGCTTTTAGCATTTTTTACTGCATTTCCCTTAACTTTTTCACTCTCACTCTCACTCTCACTCTCACTCTCACTCTCACTCTCGCCTTCACTTGACTCGTCTGACGAGCTCTTTGCATTCTTTACTACGTTTCCCTTAACCTTCGCACTCTCACTCTCACTCTCACTCTCACTCTCACTTTCACTCTCGCCTTCACTTGACTCGTCTGATGAGCTCTTAGCACCTTTTACTGCATTTCCCTTAACTTTCGCACTTTCACTCTCACTCTCACTCTCACTCTCACTCCCACTTTCACTCTCGCCCCCACTTGATTCGTCTGATGAGCTCTTATCATTTTTTACTGCGTTTCCCTTAACTTTTTCACTCTCACTCTCACTCTCACTCTCGCCTTCACTTGACTCGTCTGATGAGCTCCTAGCATTCTTTACTACGTTTGTCTTAACTTTCTCACTATCACTATCAGTATCACTATCACTTTCACTTTCGTTCTCACTTTCACTCTCGCCTTCACTGGAATTGTTCGATGTGCCCTTAGCATTATTTACCGCTTTTGACTGAACTTTCTCATTTTCACTTTCGCTTTCGTTTGATTCATTCTTAGTATCCTTTAACCCGTTTGCCTCAACTTTTTTACTTTCGCTCTCACTCTCACTTTCACTCTCAGTTTCACTTGCTGCATCCGACGAGCTGTCGCCATCATTTACTTCGTTCGCCTCAACTTTTTTACTTGCGCTCTCACCCTCGCTTTCGCTGTCCGTTTCACTCTCTCCATTTGATTCATCGGATGAACTTTTACTATCCTTTATTCCGTTTGCCTCAACTTTTTTGCTTGTGCTCTCGCTCTCATTTTCACTCTCGCTTCCACTCTCACTTTCACTCTCTCCTTCGCTTGATTCATCGGATGAGCCTTTAGTATCCTTTACCCCATTTATCTCAACTTTCTCAATTATACTATCAACCTCGCTCTCGCTCTCGCCTTCGCTTGATTTATTAGATGGAGTTTTGTTCTTGGTTGCACTTTCCTTGGTTACTTCTATTTCGCTCTTAACATCGCTTTCATTCCCACTTTCGCTTTCGCTTTCTTGTTCACGCGGACGCTCAACCCATCTGGAAATTTTATTGCCATTCTGTTTATTGTTCTAAAATAAAAACGTCAATTGCGCTTAGTATACCTTATTCTAGTAGCAATGTTCTGGTCAAACTCAAACCTAATCCGACATTAAGTCCAAGACTTTTAATTATATGGACCCATCAGAAAATATATAAATCAGAAAATTTGTATATTTTTCGATGATGTTTTCACTAATATGCCTAAAAATGTTTGGATCATATTCTTTAGATAGTTGAGAATTCCACGTTATCTACGGGGTTCTTCGGCCAAGCATGCTCTTCCTTGTACACTCGTTGCATCTACTAGGAACCCCACTATGACTTAGAGCCGCTCTCGTTCCAATGCCGAAGGTAGGACTGGATTTGCTTTGAACCAGAACATTAATATGGTAAATTGGCAATTGTTGATCCGCACCTTTTTCCCCTGGAAGAGAGTTTTTTGATACTTTTCCTGCTCAGTAATGCAATTAGTATGTGTTTTGTAAGCGGAGCCGTAGAATGTCTGGGAGCAATCCAAGCACGTTAGTTGGGCATCGCGACAACGACCGAAATGCTGCTCAGCCTTTGGTTTCCTGATAGTCTCTACAAGAAAGACAATTTGATTTTAATATGTTAAAAATTTATGAAAGATCATAATAGATCTAAATTGTCACCTTGACAACTGTCACAGATAAAGCTGACCATAACGTTTGGGTTAAATGCGGAGGTTGACTTTTTTTTTTTTCTCTTAAAATTTTTTTGCCGTCGAGTATGTTGGTCCGTTCATTTGATTGGCCGATTAAAATCGTGTCCATTTATTGTCACGAGACTTGGTCTCATAGTAAACGGCCTTTTTGAATTATGGTTTCGCATTATCTAACAGTTCGTATTGCTCACCCCTACATTTAGTTGACTTGGATCTCAAAGAGATACGCTTTTCAACACAAACGCTAAGATCTACGCATATTTTTAAATAGCTCGTATCGAAATGCCCTTGAATGTTTAAGATGAGGTCGCACAATCTCGTGATTAGACTATTTTCGCGTTTCCTGGTTACTTTGCTTATCAAGTTCTTTGGTAAAGTCCCTTCTTTTTTGCTAGCATTATCTACACTGAACAATTTACTTCCGCTCACCGAATAGTCTACTTCTACTGTTCCAATATTTTTTAAGTGTTGTCTGTCTTATGTATTCATATTTGGCCCCATAACATATAAGTAAACTGCACCAGTTTTTGTTGTAGACATTGCCTCAAATCATGATTGAGCAATGTATATATCTATGGGATCAAATTTAGATTCTTCTAGTGTTTTGTTGATACACTTGCTGCCTCACCATGAAGTCTATAAACATATAAATTGTTTCTTTTTGAATCCACCCATTTGAGAATGCGTCACTATTTTCATGCAACAATGAACGATCACGTGTATTAGACAATCCTGCGATGTTGATAATCAATCAGAATTGAGGAATTTAAATCGAGTAAGACATATTAATATACATCTATTTCTATCGGTAAGGATAACGATTTGCATCTCTCTCTTTACTCTCGTGTTATCAGTGTTAATGTGGCAAGCTTTCTTGTGGTTACGTTACATTAAACGGCAGTCTAGAAGAGAAGAAGAGCTTGCTCGGAATGGCGCGCTTGGAATTAATAGCTGAACTGAAAGGTATGTCCCCAGACTCTTCTTCCTACTTATCTTGCTAAGTATATCTCATTAGCAACAATCTACTCATTGCATATTAGTATCCAAGCCTGTATTTTCATCATGATTGGATGAGACGTGAAGTATGCGATAGATCTTTTTTTAAATTTCTTCCTTCCTTCTCTCCCTGTTCTTCTTGGTTCCTCACGTTCTTTCCAAATCACAAGGTCATACCGATCGAGTTTGGTCTGTGGCGTGGTCACCCTCAGGAAATACCCTTGCTTCATGTGGTGGCGATCAGACCGTGCGACTGTGGGTCTGCTCTTCTCCCGACGATCCCTCGCAATGGACATGCGTAAATGTATTAGAGGGGACACATAAGCAGACGATAAGAAGCGTCGCCTGGAGTCGAAACAGTCGACAGTTGGCTACTGCAAGTTTTGATGCTACTACTGGTATCTGGGAACGCGATGCTGACGGAGGAGGTTAGTTTGAGTGAATTCGCAAAGCAAAGGACGATGATGGATAGTAGTAAGAAGAATGATAAATAAGAAAAAATAGAAGAGCATTCGGCTATGAAAGTAGAACGGACATTTAGCAATGACGCCTAATTGCCAATCGACCAATTGCTGCAATTCTTTTTCGATACAAGACTATGAATGTGTTGCAACACTCGAAGGCCATGAGAATGAAACCAAATCCGTTGCCTGGTCATCTTCCGGTGCACTCGTTGCAACGTGCGGTCGAGATAAAAGTGTCTGGATATGGGAAGGTGTGTAAATAGACGTCGCTGTTATCTTATTATCTCCCTAGTGATATAAGTCTCGTCGATTATCAATTTACTATTTCAATTTCATCGTCTAAACCTTGAAAACTCCCACGTCGTCTATATTGTGTTGTTATATCAGATCAATCTTATTGATAGGTCTTGTGTAAATCCCTATAGTTGTTTCGGATAGTGAGTTCGAATGTTTAAGCGTGTTGCAAGAGCACACACAAGATGTTAAGATGGTCGTTTGGCATCCAACCGAAGACGTAAATGTCTCTTGATTTTTGAAAAGAGGGAGGGGTGAGGGGATAGAGGGGCGATGGTTAACGAGTTTCGCAAATGAATTTTACCGTTCATGTGTTTGCTTGTCTTTGTATGGCAGTTATTAGCATCGGCCAGTTACGATGATACAATAAAGATCTGGCGAGAGGATGACGACGATTGGTATTGTTCCGATACACTGGAAGGTCATCGGAGCACCGTCTGGGCAATCGATTTTGACAAGTCGGGAGACAATTTAGGTACGGGTTGCTACCAATGTGCTATTTGAGCGTTTTACTCTGTATTAATTATTGTTACTGTTTCGTAAACGACATATATAGTTTCCGCCTCTGATGATAAAACACTCAAATTTTGGCGTTGCTATCGTTCCGACAATCCCGAGAATGTATCTTCAGTCACCTCATTTTCTGAACCAAAGTGGAAATGTGTTTGCACACTCTCGGGCTACCATCGACGCTGTATTTATTCAGTCTCCTGGTCTAAAGTCAATGATCGTGTTGCTAGTGCTGGTGGTGATAATATAATTAGGGTATTTGAGCGCGATGAGGAAGCGGAGGAGTCTGTTGAGAGTGGGGATAGTATGCCAATTTATAAATTAATCGCGTCTGTCGACAACGCCCATAGTGTTTCAGACGTTAACTGTGTCCAATGGTCGCCGGTGGAGAAGTTTGGAGCACTTTTGGCTAGTACGGGTGATGATGGAATTGTTAAGATTTGGAAGTTCGTCGAATAGTGTATTTGGACCGTTCGAAATTTATAGATAATCATTCACATACGATCGTCTTGTTTCTTTTTATTGTTTAATATATCAACATATAAAATTATAGATATATACTGAATTGGTCTTCTTGCAAGCATGAATAAATTTGCACAGTAAATACAGTGAATTAAAATGTTACTTAGGAACTTTATAAATAAAGTCACTGCAATCAATTATTGGATATTAAAAATCAGAGTCGATAACGTAAAAAGCAATTGTACGAATCGAATATGTTCGTAACAGCCAAAAGCACAAAAGAATTATTGACATTAAACGGAAACCTGAAATGGTTAATTTCGCGACAATTTATGAACCAAATAAAGGTTCATGCGTGAGCAAATAACAAGTCATCTCTTTTATGGGAGAGAGGGTCTATTTGTGCAACGTTCCCTTTGCAAATCATGACATATATAGTCGTACAAACTTGCGTGTTAACCGTTATTTATTAAACTTCGCCTTGCTGCACGCAATCTTGCTGCGCTTCTCTCCATCACTCTTATTCTCTAGTCTGCTTTCTATCGTTACTCAATAGTGTGGCAGCGGCGCTCGAATAAGGAGTCATGAAGCTATACTCGATTACCGTTTTTTCTAATGTTTCCACGGAGTTGAAGTTATTGGCTGGAGAATTCGAGCTCTCAAACTTTGGATATTTTCAGCGTGGAAGGTATGCGATCAACAAACCGATCGACTCTTGCGTGGTTCGGTTACCTGTAGTATCATCATTGTCTAATTTATCAACAAGGAAGTTGGCTGATTCGGCCTAGGCAGCAGCGATAATCTTTTACTCATCTGATACTGACGCAATTCGTTATTATGACTGTTTGTAGCGTACAAGAATTCCTGACCTTCTTCTCCAAGACTGTGGCAGAACGTACTAAACCAGGACATAGACAGAGTGTTGAAGAAAGCAGTACGCATCTTACTGATTTCAATGAAGTGGGTGTAGAGTAGTAGTTTGTAGAGTCTTTTCGTTACGTGCTGCACGGTGCGTTTTAAGATCGGCACTTGGATGCAATCCGAACCTTTGACCGACTGAATACTACTAATATTCGTGAATGAATAATAATAATTATACAGCCGATTCTGAGTTATGCAAATTTCTGCAGATGTATATTTATAGTCGCACTTTAGCGTATTATTTGATCGGTCCTACGAAGAACGTCTCAGTCATGTCGTGCACAGCACATAATTATAGATGATCTTTCTAAGGCATTTCTTCTCCCCTTTACTCTGTCATGCAGACTACGTATTCTATGCCTACTCTATTCCTCAGGGTCTATCGGGCATCATAATCACAGACTCTGAATATCCTCAACGAGTTGCATTTTCTCTGGTGAATAAAGTCCTTGAGGAATTCCTGGTGCGGTTTCCCAAACAGACTTGGACACAAAAAATTACTTTTCCGGAATTGAGAGAGTATTTGATCCAGTATCAAGATCCAAAACAGGGAGATCAGATTATGAAGGTGCAAGAACAACTGGACGAAACCAAACAAGTTATGGTAAATATATACATCTTTACAAAGGAGATATATCTGTGATAATGCTTGGAAAATTTGAACCGTAAATGGAGGAATAGGCATCCCGATCACTTGTTTTATTTTTGCCAACTATATAATTAATTCTTGTTTTTAATAGAATAAAACCATTGAGAGTCTTCTCCAGCGTGGAGAGAAACTAGATGATCTCATCGATAGGAGTAGAGATATATCCTTTCAGTCCAAGGCTTTCTATAAACAGGCAAAGAAGGTACTAAATCAATTGACAAGTTTTCATATCATATCTATTCGAGTTCTGACTATATTATTCCATCTAACAGACGAACAGCTGTTGCGTAATCCAATGAGTTTGACAAATGGCTTTTCCAATGAGTGCGATAAATGACCTTTGGCTGAAAGATAACTATTTATCAAATGTATTTTAGTGTGATCTTGTAATCATAATAATCAATTCATATCTGACATGTTTTTGTTCCATTACATACTGCATACTTTCCGAGAAACAAAAAAAAAAATACAAGTTGCTGTGACGAGGAGGAATACAAATTTACTATCTATCGGGGGAAATGATCAAAGTCGTTATTGTAATGCAAACCGCGCGTGATGAACAAACCTTTTCAACGTTGTGCACATAATTCATAATGTACTAGAGTAAAACATAATAACAGGTTGTCATTTATGCTGGAAGAAATAAAGTGGCAATTTATTTGACTTGATAGAATTATAATCTGAGGTCGGAAGGTTTGTCCTCCTCAGTACAAAACTGCCGCAAATATAGTTATTACTTCAGCGATATCCCAGTTGAGTTCCTTTCTTAACGTTGCTTGGTTTCTGTTAACGTTTTACGATTCCAGGATGTATCAATTTTATTCCCTAATTACCTTTTGCTTGATTTCGACATTCTTTGGGATTTACCGATATACGTCTTTGTCTTTTAGTACTTTACTTTCAGTGTGGAGGATATTGCTTTGAATTTTCTGGCTAAGCAATAACTACAGAATTTCTCATTTCATGAGCAAATCTTTCACACCAGAGACTGCTAAGAACTTTTCACATTATATTTAATGCCAAGCTAAATGTGATCGTGCTAAAGCTATTTAACATATTACACGAAAATAGATTCAGATACAGTACATGATTAACTACATAGCAAACAATAAAGAGGAAGTTTTAGTCGTCTAATTTTAGTTGGAAATATGTCTAGGATATGCCGAGGCCATTGATACACTGGGATAGCATGCGTGGTAAAAGTCGGGTTCGAAACTGCCTTCAACATCAAAATCAATGGGGCTGTTTATCAGAAAAATGTTGTAATTGAAACTATGAAGACTAATGTTAATGATTTCTGTAGGTGGAGAGACGGTGAAAAAGTTTGATACGGGCTTACTTAATCGAATTAATATATACATCTCTATCCCAGGTACCGACGCGCTGATCCGTTATAAAAAGTTATAACAGTCCAAGGAGTTCTACAACCACGCGAAGAACTTGATCAGGAGATATATTCGATTGCTTCATGAAATAAATATACCGCGTCACGTTGCTTATGTTACACAAAACCAAACTATATTAATATTAATCCTCACCCCAATTCAACTTATGCATATTCATGTCTTCGGATCAAGAAGTTCCTACAGAGAACGTTCCCAAGTTCCTCTCTTTTCCCAGCCTCCTTTCGCAGCCCTCTAGTTCAGGTGGAGGACTTGCTCCACATACTCGTCGTGAAAAACGCCGACATTACTCCTCTTCCTCTTCCCACTCTTCGGACGATGATCGATATAAAAGTCATAAGGAAGAACGTGCACGGAAGGACAGATCGGCATCGGAACGAAGAAGGAATCGCAGTCGGGAGCGGCGCAAAGATAAATCCGATCGAAAACGAAAGGATAAAAAGCATAGAAAAGAAGATAAAGACAAGGTATGGCAGAAATTCCAATTGATCAGTCCAACCCGTTTGTTAACGATCCTTATCAGTAACGTGCTTTGTGTAGATTCGAAAGAAGCCTACTGAGATTTCTCGATCTGAGAGGTACTTTACAAATGTATCTTGAGTTAGAATGTTTTCAAGTGTAACTAATGTTACGCATTCTTTATAAGATTTTCTTTAGATACTGGAACCTATTTTATTGATCGAAGAGAAGACACGAGTAATCTCGTTTATGGTGGTACTTACAAGTATGAAGTACCGCGATACCGTCGTTCTGGAGGTAATGCATTACGGTCATCTCAATGTTGCAGAATGTAATTATAACGCGAGCCATTCAATGTGGATTGTTTTATCAGGAGGAAAAGTCCTTGGCTTGCCTCCAAATTATAGAATAAGTCGTAAGAGACAGGAAAGTGCTGCTGAGACTATCGAAGATATTAATTATTCAAAAAAAGATAAAAAAGTGTGTAAAAAACAGTACAATTCTATGCTTTTTTAGAGACATTACATAACTAATTGAGTTTTGTTTTACCTGAATAGAATACGCGGTATATGCATCACATACTAGCATCAAAGGATAATGGACGTGAAACAGAAAGGTTTCGAATATTACTATATATACTTGGGTATTATTAGTTCTCTATTGACGCATATTACGGACAATGTAGACTCCCAATACGGAAATCACATGATTCCACACCATTCTGGATTAATGATTTCGTTCCACTGGATGATGATGAAGATACTAAGCAGACAGAAGACAGTGGTCTCCCGGATTACAGAGATATTACACTGGGAGCGAAATCTAACGATGGAGATGCAAATATGCTATTTATGGAAGTCGAAGATATTGCACCTCAGGACAAGTTGGTCCGCCAAAAGATCAAAGAGTATACGTTGCAACTTGCAGAAGTAAATAACTTATGTTCATACACAGTATGTTATTATTTATATGTTTATTATTATTAACTATCTGTACATTTAGCATTCTCAAGATGTCGATTTATGGATTGAGTTTATCGAATTCCAAGATAAGGCAATGCAGATAGGCAAAAAGTTAACATCTGGTGCCACGACTTCTAGTGTCAATGAAGTCAAGCTCAGCATTTATGAAAAAGCCCTGACTGCTAATCCGGATAATGAGAAATTATTGCTGGGTTATCTCAAGTGTGCTGAGAGATTATGGAAGTAAGTAACTCAGCCCATTGTATGTTATTAACAACATTATTATTACTGAGTCCTGATATATTAAAAGCATATTCATAGGACACCAGAACTACTTGGGAAATGGGATGAAGTCATGGCAGCACATTCACAGTCAGTGTCTTTATGGATGGAGTACATTGACTTTAGACAAACACTTCTTAGTGGGTTCACGGTGAAGAATTGTGAAGATGCTTACGCACAGTGTATTGCTGTACTGAAACAACAGTTATACGACGGTAATATGAGCGTGAAAACATATTTAAATATATAATTGTATGAGTAGCATCTATATTCACAATGGTCTTCTCACTATAGACTCTGAACGCATTGAACAGGCTTTGTTACGCGTCTTTATGCGTGTCTGCTTCTTCCTAAGAGACTCAGGTATGTACGTGCAGCACACGTTTATTAGGTACATGTTTGTATACTGAATTTAGTTATCAAACTATCTTTCACTGTTTTGTAGGATTTACTGAAAAGGCATATGCTTGTTGGCAAGCAATGATGGAAATAACCTTTTTTACGCCCAACGAATTACAATCGTCTAATTTTGAGGATATCACAGAAGGACTGGAAGAATTTTGGGGAAGTGAAAGGCCACGCTTTGGAGAGAAGGTGCATATAACGAGGAATCAACAACCGATAATTGAACATGATTTTGCCATTCCTTGCAAGCTAAATACACTTTTACTTTCTGACAGGGAGCACAAGGATGGTCGTTTTATTACAACAACGGTAAACGCTCATCATATATTTAACTTTATTTTCCGAACACTTTCTAATCTGGTCACAACAATATTTGCTAGATGGTTCAACAACTTTACTACAAAAAACTCCATCAATAAATCTCGATTCTCTTCCTTCATCTGAAGACAAATTCAAGTCGTGGCTTTATCAGGAGCAAGCTCTTGATAGCGTCTATCGTTATTCTTTGCGTACTGATGACCTTCTTGCCGACACGGATGCTTCTACCGAGGATCCTTTTCGACTAGTCCTATTTGATGATATACGAAATTATATTTTCCCCATCAGCACGCAGGCAGCAAAGACACAACTGATATATGGATGTTTCAATTATCTTGGTTTGAATTTCAATCCTTGTATTGATTCAAAGCATAGCCTTTTTATGGACTCTTTTTTGCATTGCGAGGCGGGACATGAGGTTATAATGAAGGAGAAATTCTTTCATGCTTTGGGCGAGCCGGATGAAGATGTTGCGCCTGGAACAATGAGCAACAAGACAAAAGAAAGGAGTAATCTGGGATGGAAATATTTGGATTTCCCAATAAAAGTTTTCCCTCAGCAAATTGATAACTTATTTAATAATGGGAAATGGTTTGCTATGTATGACGATTTGGATATAAGTAATGCAGATGTGGAATTTGCCGGGTAAGTTTGAAACAAAGCGTGACAGTCAGTAGAAGGTTGACTAATGAGATTTCCGTGTTTTCATAGAGAAGCTTTTGTGCAACTGAAAAATCTTACAAAGAACATTGGAGTGCATGTCTGGAATTTAGTGCCGCCTCACTTTATTGGTAGCTCTCAAGGGTCAGTTGTTGAAAAATCGTCTATGCATGTTTGCTACTGTGAAATATTAAAGTTCGTTAATAAGTAAATTTAATGCCGTCATTCTTATAGAGTAAAGCTTGCGAAAGAGTTATTAAGTACTGATCGCTCAAATCTATTGCTATGGAACTGGTATGCGCAACTTGAAAAATCCCAAGGAAATATTGACAAAGTATCGTGTATTTACATTTATCATTATATTGTTATTGTTTCCCAACTCTCCTCTAATCCGTACATGCTTTATCTCGATGGCTAGGCCCGTGAGATATATAAGACTGCAATTGCCATGGGGCGTTCCTATGGCAAAGAATGCGAAATTGATGTTCCTTTCCTTTATCGCATGTTTGCTGAGTTAGAAATAGAACAGGGAGAGAGAACTGCTGCCCTAAGTATCCTTTTACTACAACGTATTCGTTTACTAGGACGTTAATTATTTAACTGTTGTGATAGTTGGATTCCTTGACTGGCTTTTTAATAGACATCCTTCAATTGCAAAGTGAAGAAGCTATATCCAATACTGGCTTTGGTGCGTTAGTTGATTTGATACCCAAAATATAGACTTTAAAGAAGGTAGTCTCTAACAGTCGATACCCCTTTTAGGTACGATATTGACGGAGGCTCCAAGTATGGTTAAGTTGTTGAAAGCTCGGAGAGTATGTGGATGACATTTTTGTATGACATTTTATGTTTGACGTATTATTTCTGACGTTCTCGTGCTCTGCTACCGTAGTACTATGAACGACAAATGGAACAGTTGGCATCTCTCTCGACATTAAGAGACGCGCGAGTACAATTGGAGCGATGCTGTTGCTTTGCCCTGATGCAATACCTTAATTCAGGATTGGGGAAAGCTTGTGAAATATTTGACCGTCTAATAAGCTCATTCGAAACTTTAGGAGAATTAGATAATGTTAATTGCGAGTTAACGTACATTACATATCCTTTATTCAATGTATTGGCTGTCACCAAGAGTTTGACGGATCAGAAAAGTTTTTGTGTTGTGTTTATCTTCTCAATTGAACCCTTGACCACATTAACACATACGTCAAACTTATATATCAGCACATGAACACGAGCACATTATTTCAACCGAAAGTACTGCGCAACGTACTTGAACGAGCGTTATCTACATTTTCTAGCAATGTTATATTTCTTTCCTTGTATTTAGCCAACGAGGAAAGATCTAAAATTGCCGGGCGCGTTAGGTCTCAGTTGGACACAGCACTTGCAAGGTAAATGTTTGTGTATTATTATATATCATTGTACTGTATCTATCCGCTGTATTTGTAGAACTAACATGTTTGTAGCAATCCTAATCACGTGTTATGGACTTTCGCTTTGTACGCGGAGATGCGTCGACATCAAAATTATAACGTGAATTTTATCCGATCGCTATTTGAACGTGCTACTGAATGTCCAAAGTAAGTATCATATGAGTATGTTATTCGAACAATACTAACCGATATGCGTATATGTTGTACTTATTTTTATTTATTTGTATCTAGATCACGACATTCCGTAGCCATTTGGAGTTTATATATTAATTTCGAAAAGCATATCGGGGATTTCGAGAGAGCAAAAGCTATTTATTTCCGTGCTCTACGCGAATGTCCTTGGGCCAAAAGTATGACAATACTTGTATCAACACTTGTTATTAACATGTTCCTTATGGTTGTATTCCTTTATCAATGAATATTCTTTTCTTTACAGGTCTGATATTAGAAGCATTTACCATGTCATCAATGACAGATACTGAAAAAGAATCCGTGATGGGTTTAATGATGTCTACAGGAATGCGATTACGTGTTTCCTTTGACGATTACGAATAGAGTAAGCGGTAGCGACCATCGATCACGTAGATACAGACACAGATATAGTTGATATAATAACGTTAAATAATTCAATAACTTAAAAGATCAGATGAGTTGAACTAATAAATGTACCATAAAATGTTTCCTCGAATAGAATGACGCTTCTTCATTAAATGGGTGATTTGTTATGATTGGTACACATTTAATTGACAACTGCCCATCGGTTGCAACATAATCAGTGTGCGGTTTCTAGGCGTTTAGAGAAATAACTTATTCTTCTATCTTTTTGGTTGCTGAATATTAGTGACTTTAATTCCTGTTATAAGTCCAATGTCTTATTCGATTTCTTACTCCTCCTTACTATTTATTATTGCCGTTGGAATTCCGATCCTTCACTGCTGCATAAACATTCGTAACTGAATTGTAGGCGTCCTTTGCTGTTAATTCATTCAAGTCCCGAGCTAAACCAGTTATGTGGTCATTCCACAAAGACTTGAAGGTTGGAAACAATCTGTTGGTCATATATGTTCGCAATTGCGATATTGATGGAAGGGGGAGTTGCGGACGGTCATTAGGAGGTAGTTGTTTGGGACCTGATGGAGGAGGCGGCAACTACGATAAAAGGAGGGGATTAGATTGATTGAATTGGAAAGTGTCAACATAACCCAGTACATAATTAAGAGAACAAGAGTCTGAACGATGATATATCATCAGTCCATGTCTATGGTTTAGAACAGCATGTTCATACCGTCGCAGACTTTAAGTGTCCGGGTAAGCCCGCTTCCAAATGATTCTGTGTCGTTAGCAAATGATGTCTAATTCGAGCAGTGTTGCTGTCAATATCATGCCTGAATTGGTAAATAAAAGCCCCAGAAACAAGGACCCCTGTTGCTGTAGCTATCCACTTGACCATGATACGTTGAAAGAGCGATAGAAAAAAGCACGCGGAAAATACTTGGTGTAATTAATTTTTGTGTAACAATGCGCAGAGATTCAATACAGTATTTTAAATCTAGGAATCGTCATCGATAATATCTTGTGGTAATTCTATTTCAGGCAAGGGATTAGGAGTAATGCCTTTCTCCTCATCAGAATGGCTCTCGATAAGTGGTGAAATATCTTTTGTAGTAGATGGCTCCTGTTTATTAGTAATAGCCTGCGTCTGTTTCTGTTCCAATTTCGTGATTCTATCTTTAAGCTCAGTATTTTCTTCTGCGGTCTGTTCCAATTTGGTGATCCTGGCTTTGAGCTCAACATTCTCAGCTTCGCGTTTGGTGCTCTCTTCCATAACCCGTTTTAAAAGCTCGGCATTCTTGGCTTCGAGCTCAGCCTTTTCGGCTTCAAGCTCAGAAATTCGGTGTTTTAATGAATCAACCTCGGATTGCATGTTTTAGTAGTAGTAATAGATTTTATATATTTATTATTTATTTAAAATGCGTAACTAAATTAGTAAAAATTTCAGCGACGGCCGTCGTCAAAAATTCCAATGAAAATTTTACAAATCATTTATTATAAAATTTTTTTGAATGATACATTGTAAAATCAGTTGATATCAATTTTTTGATTTTTTTTTCTCCCTAAATAACGTATTTTCTAAATCGTTTAAATCGATTTTTTCATGAACCGGTGAATCCAGATAGTGCATCAAATCGCGACCCGACGATTTGGAACCGGGAGATGGGGAGCTGGGAGGTGAGGCTGGTGTATCCTGAACTGAAGTTATATGGATATTGTTAACTCCGAGAGCGTAAAAAATTCTTTTTTCTGTTACTTTCCCCAAGCCGTTGTCCTTGTTCCTCACACGTTGTAGATCTTTGAAGAGCTCTGGATCGACAAAAGTCAAGATGCTTGGATCCGTACTTGCATATTTGGGTGCAAAGACCTTTCTCGTTTTCAGTGATATAAGATCGCCATATGTCTTCTGGGTCTTGCCTATTGTTTCTGGCGTCTGTTCATTGCCCTCGCAATACTTCTTTTCTTTTTCGGCATCGGTTTTACCGGCCCATCCATTATGTCCGTAGGTTTTACTATTAATCGAACATTCACGAAATTGCATTAAGTGTTCCGGTTTTGTCAGAGAAGACATATTCTATCTGGCCCATCGGATAGATTCCACTGGAAAGGAGAAATGCATCATTAGCGATTAGCTGAAAAAATTGGACAGATTTGGGAACACAAGAAGTTTGTGAGTCTTCATCCCACATGTTGAGGTCATTATAAATAAAATACGCCTGATTGGATCATTGGTAGGTTATTATTATATCGCATCGGGCATATTGTGAGCCAACTTACTTGAAAGGTCTTTACAAATTCGATAGAAATATACAGTGATATGGGAATAATGTTTTGGAAGATAATCAGACTTGCCCTGTTGAATGTACAGAAAGCGTTTTTAGTGATTTTTTTCGAGCTTTGGGGAAGTGAATTGTTATTGCAGGGTCATACTTTACCAGAAGGTTAGAAAAGCTGCAAACGCAACGCTATCCCGATTAGAATCTAATAACATAGTGGCTATCCCGTTCGTTTTAGCTGACAATTTTGCAGAAGATATCGCACTTCCAACAGCACATATCAAAGCGAGGGCAATAAGAACAAAGAAATTGAATATAACCTGTAAGGTGAAATTTGAAAGTTTAGGCATATATGGCATATGTTGTAATGAGAACTGGGATATGACAAGCACAAGACATATACTTCTTTTGTTAGGAGTCGTCCGAATTCAAGACACAGCAGTTTTCGATACATGATTATAAAGTACAAAAGTCTATTCCAGTCAATATAAACAACTTATTGTTACGCGCGCACGTTATAAAAAATACCGAGTGGGTGATTGTGGTGATTGTGTATACTGGTGTTGAGACTAAAATTGTGGAGAGACTCGTACTAGTAGTCTGAACAGACTGTATCGAATCCATATTCCTAGTCGCAGCAACCGGCGGCCGGATCAACTAATATCATGGCAGCAGAAAAAGAGTAGAAATTCGAGTTGGGCGACTCAGCATCAATATAAAACTTTGTCTTTTTCAGACCTAATGTTGTTAGTGTCAGGGATAGCCCTCCAAGGTTTTAAATTTCTCGGTAACATTGGTATGGTCGTGTTTTATTCTTCCTTTATATCTCACATAAAACTACATAATAATAAGATATCTGGTCATGTGTTGAGACATGCAGATTTTATCAAGCGTGTTAGCGTTTTTTCACAGACCAACTACATTGTGCATAAAAATTCTATATAACACGAAATATCACTTGTTGAACATGAAACAAATCAAGGACCACATTATTTGCGATTGGGTATGGTGGGAGTGGTGGATTTTGGCGAGGACAGCCTCTGAAAATGCAATCTGGTGAAATATTCAAAGTGCACATTCCCACAGCAGTGCATCCATTGTATTGTTGATGTCTTCTATCAATGGTTCCAAATTCAATCTAAAAAATCAATATATAAAGTGATATTGTAAACAAAACAAATAGAGATCATAATCATCTTAATCTGTCAAAAAATACACTAATTCTTACTGTTTGAACTGGTAAGTAGTTTCCACTTGCATTTTGAGGGCTTCTTCTACGACAGAATTTATAGCACTACCAGAAACATAGAATAATTATTAGTTGAATAAAATAAATAAAATGGTACCAAAGAATAATACTAAACTGTTAAATGGCGCAAGGGCGTTCCGTTTTGAGCCCTCCTTGAATTCCATTTCCATAATTTCAATACAATAACATCTTCAACATGATTCGGGGCCAACCAGAATTGGGTGGTCTTATATATTATACTTGCAAGGCTTTGTGTACCAGCAGCCTCAACAATAACAGTTGGCCAAGGGTTACCCTATAAAGTATAAACCATTACAAATTCTGATTGATCCTTATATATACTCAGTAAAATAGTTCAATAAACAATACCTCGGGATCAGATGGGTTTGCTGACTTAGGTAGAAGTTTTGGTACAAATGAAGCATCTGCTTGTTTGCTAGGTCCCCTGACTACTCTACATCCTGGATTAGCAAAACAAGCTGCATATGAATGCAAGAGTTAGGTTTAATATATAATATAAATCCACAAACTATATGTAAAGAGTATATACAGTACTTGCTGATCCGGCATAATCAATTGCATCCTGAGGGTCCTGACGTGTAAACTGTTTGGTAAGTGCACAATGTGCCACCTCATGATCACGTTTTGGCAATTCAATTATGACTACAGTTCCATCCCGAAATTCCCAGAATTTTGATGCATTTGCGCATTCACATTTTTTTTCGAACTTTTCATAGCTTACATCTTCCACAAGGATCGGAGGGAGTCTAATAAAATGGAAGAAATTTTAGCATGAACAGTAGGACTCGAATTTATGTGGTGTATGATCTCACCTTTCTTCATCAATAATATGGTAATTTCCATCTTTCCACCATTTCTTCTCTCTTGCATCGGCTTTGTTGGTAATGACTTCTTCCACATTAGCATCGATAATTTCAATGCACTCTTGAAATGCCAGCTTATTCGCGTCTTGATGATCTAGATAATAATAAGGAAGTCACTGAGCTTCTACGAAAACTTTGAGAAGAGACAGTAATTGAGAAACTGCTTAGAGCAGAAGCTGAGGAACCTCGACGAGCACCTGCAAAAGTCTCAAATTCTGTTGTAGACATTTTTTGAGAGTCAAATTAGGTAGCTTATGTAATAGTTCTTTTATACGAAATGTTGATGTGATATGATGACGAAATTTGGTGACGTATTCCTCGATGGAATTTGATCGCCATGTGTGACACAGCTAATAACTATCGCGAGGAACTTTTATTCGCAACGGGATGTTCGCTAAAGCCCAGTTTAAGCTGTTTTTATCTATCTCCATACATGTTCATAAAACGGATTTATTGGGAGGAGGGGGAGGCACAGCTAATACATCAGGAAATTTGTTTGCTGAAATCTAACGCAAACGCTGAATAAATTCTGCAAATGCTTATAACGCGTTTTGTCAAGCATATTCAAACGATTACTAGTCAACAGCTACCCGAGCACTTAAACGCATTAATCTAGACGCGCATAAACGTGTGATTTCTGCAAAGCTTATTAGGTGATTCATCAAGCGTTTCAATTACTTTAATAAGGTATTTTAATAATTCTGACTGATATTGTTGTTACGGCAAGCCGATTAAGTGAGTCACATGGTAAAATCTTCCTCCGCAGTCAAGCAAAATCCCATGATCGACGACACTAATTTTAGGATAGTTGCGTTTTAGGCACCGTGTCGAATTTTGAGTGTCAGGCGCAGAAACGTTTCGATTTTTGCGTGTCAGTACAAACACAATTAGCTAAATAATATGATTGGTTCTTCATAGAGATTACGATTGTTAACTAATTTTAACTCCGTTTCGATTTTTGAGTGTCGCTAAAGATATATAAGCGACCCTTATCCCA